GGAGAGGGAGTGGCATCAGAACGGGCAGCCCCTGCTTGGTGCTGGCTCCGGCCAAACCTTATCAGCCCTCAAAATGTCCCCGAGTGAGCAGATTCTCTGTGTGATAAGAGACTCAAGGTTGGCACACACCAGCCGCAGACAATGGCCGGGCACTGGGTGGGCAACTGATCCAGGAACAATGCTGGACCACCGAGGGTTAATCAGGGAGCCAGGAAGGGCCGGACCCCAGTCAGGCAGCAGAGGTGGGGTGGGGACATGTCTTCTCCATCCCCATCCTGGTTCTTCACTTTTCCCGACCCTTCGCACTCCAGGGCCTTTGCACAGGACGTTCCCTTTGCCAGAAACACCCTTCCCTTCTCTCTTCCAGATTCAGTGCCAAAGTCACCTCCTCCAGGAAGTCTTCCCTGACTGCCCATATCAAGGCCAAGTCCCCCCAGCATACAAGACTGTCACTCCCCATCTTTTCCCTTTCAGAGCATTTATCATAATATTAATAGTAATTTAAATAATAGAACGCTGGAGTTTGCCATTTAGTGTTTACCCCCTCCTCCAGACACCAGAAGCTCTGTGAGGGCCAGGACTGTATCCATCAGTCCGTCCTGTTTGCTACCACACAGGACTTGCCACCTTGCAGGTGCTCAACAAATGTTTGCGGAATAAAAGAATGGCTAGCTGGTTTGCTCCCCGATCAGGGCTGTGGGGCAGGTGGCCTACCTCCCAGAGCCGAGCACCCAGTGAAGCACATCTTGAGGGCTCAGCTATGGGTGGGATGAGCTGGGGCTCCCTGGCTTCTTTCTAGCACCTGGGGGGCCTTCACCTGCCCTGAATCAGGGATGGCAGCGTCATGGCACTGTCCAGGCACCTACTGTGTGCCACGCAGGAGGGCGGGAGGTGGAGGATCGGGGGTCCCACATGGGTCAGGTGCAAACCTGCTCCTCTCCTACAGCCTCTGAGGGTCCCAGGTAGCCCTGGGTGCACAGCAGGGCCTCAATTAATGGTTTGGATGGAAAATGCCCTCCGTCCTGAGGGAGGCAGAGGGGGACCCAGGAAGGTTCTACGAGATGGACCTTGGAGAGAAGGCACTCAGGACAGGCAAGTTGATGGGACAGGCGGTGGCTGGGGACAGCTGTGAGAGAAGTGAGAAGGGACAGATGAGGGAGTATCGGGGAGTTGAGGGACCCCGTTGCCCCTCTGCAGAGCCCCAGGGTCCTCGTCCGCCTGGGATCAGCGCTCCCCAGTCACAGCCAACCCCAGCCTTTAACAGGACCCATGGTCAAGTTCCTACAGGGGCCTTGGGGCAAGTGCTGGGGCCAGAGCTCTGCTGCCCACCCTGCTATTGCCAGCTCCCAGCAAGCCCCTCACCTCCTGGGCGGGCCTCGGTTTCCCCATCTGCATAATGAGGACATGGTGCTTTTCAGCTGCCCTGGCCCTCTTCACGTGCAGCTCGCCTCGCTCCTGACCCAAGGTTGTGCTTGCACCGCAGCCTGACAGGGCGAGGAGCCGGCCCTCCTTGGGGCAGAGCTGGCCGCAGCAATCCGTCCTGGGGTCGGCTCTTGTTCCAATCTGGTGGGAGCTGCCCGCGCCTCCTCCAGCGGGGACTGAGAATTTCCGTGCTGACCTCACCATCTGGATGAGCAGTTCCAGATGTCGCTGGGGGCGGGGAGGGGGTTCCTGGGAAGGTCCTGGCAGCTTCAGAGGGTACTGAGGCTGAGAAGACGGCCAGCCTAGCCTGAGCCTCCCCTCAAGCCAGGGCCCCTGGAATCCCCCACATTCAGGCCGGGCTGGAGTGTGGGACAGGAGAGGAGGAGGGCAGGGGCCGAGGGGAGCACCAGACGAGGAGTCCAGAGGCTGCATTTGCATCTGGCTGTGCTGCTTCCTCGCTGTGGGGCCACGGGGTGACTTCTTCATCCAAACCTCAGTTGCCTTATCATTCAAATGGGTACATTGACACCTGACTCCAGGAATTCCACGGAAGCTCTGCCAGGCTCCCAGAAAGATGAGGCCATCCTTGTTAAATGGTCCCTGGGAAGCTTGTGCCAGGAGGCTCTGGGGACACTGAGGCATGTCAGACCTTGCCTGGTACCCGGCGTGGCTGGTCCCCCTCCAGCACAGTATAGCCTCCAACTCCTGGGCCCGCTATCCTGCTCTTGCTCCTGCTGTTCCTGCTCCCTGGGCACCCTTCCTCACCACCTTCTAACTCCTACTCATTCTTCAAGACCCATTTCAGGTGCCTCCTCCTCCAGGAAGCCAACCCTGATAGCCCCATATCCCAGCCTAGTGAGGGGCTGTGTTTCCAGGGAACAGTCTAGCCTGGTGTTTAGGTGCACAGTCTCTGGGACAGGCTGCTGGTTTCACATCCTGGCTTTGTGACTCCCTTGCTGTTGTGACATTGGGCAAGCCCCTTAACTTCTCTGTGCCCTCGTAGCCTCTCTCAAGGGGAGTAACAGAACCACCCGTAACACGTGTGGACAACTCAGCCTGGCGCCTGGTACAGCGTGAGCTCTCAGTAGACAGTGGTGGTTGTTATGGGATGGACAAGATTTCTCCCCCGCATCCCTGAGTGCCAGCTCCATGCTGGGCACCGCCTGGTGATGGAGGCTCAGGACTGAGAACGGGCTTCAGAGTCCAGGCCCCCTCCTGGTGAAGTTCCTCGCTTAGCCAGGTGGAGACGGGAGCCTGTAAAGGTCAATAGCCCGGGGCAAACCGCGCATCCGGGTGGGTGTGTGGGACAGGAGGAGGACAGGTCTGTTTGCTCCCGGGCCCCAAGCCACAGCACCCAGTGGCTGGTGCCCAGCCAGCAACCCAGCACAGGCACTGCCTGCTGTGCCACCCCGACCCCTGAGGCCGGCCAGCAGGGAGTGGGCCGGGGTTGGACCCGCACTCCCTGGAATCAGGGTTGAGGACGGGCTGTGCCTGCAGAGCTTGGGGTCTCTCTCTGTCCTCCACCCGGTTCTGACTTCTGGGCCCTTGGTTGTCCGGGTTGCCGAGATCTTTAGCAGCTCCTGTCTCCCACCCCAGGAGGGAGAGGCGCTGAAGCCACAGTAAACGGGGTGAGGTCACAAGTCTACACACAGACCAAGTACACCTGTCACCATGGGGACGAGGGCCAGCCTGCCTTTCCCTGAGGAGTAGGAGGCACGCAGCATTCTGAGAACTGTGGGTGCCCGGACTGGGCTCGCACAGACGGCTGGGCTCCTGTGTCCAGGGCTGTGGCTGCCCGGGCCACCCTACCCTGCCAGGACCCAGGCATGGACAGCAGATGGCATTGCTGGACTGCTGAGCCCAGCGAATGACGGGGGAGACTGAGGCTCAGAGGCCAGGAGCGCCAGGCTGTCAGCTGGTGGGAAGCCTGTTTCAGCCCCCTGCCTCCATGCTCTGCACAGCCCTGGCCCTGGGCCCTGTACCCAGAGTCCCTCTCTGTGTCCTCGATCCACAGCTGAAACCAGGGCTGTCCCTGGGGCTGGGGGTAGGACAGGGAGTGGGGAGGCAGCACTGGCTCCCCTTACTGCTGTGGTGAGGGCTTCCCTCTCTGTGGTCCTCTGGGGGAGGCAGGTAGGAGGGACCTGCAGCCTGCTGAGCCCCAGGACGGCCAGGCAGGATGGGGACGCGGATGTGGCCAGGGCGGGCAGGCAGGCTCATCCTCCACTGCCCAGGGCTGCCCCCTGCAGGGCCACAGCCAGTCCTGCTATGAGCCGGGCAGGAGAGATGGGCTTCACAGCCGCGGGCTCCGCACTGCTCTGCACTACCCAGGGGGCTGGTGGACAGTCACAGACATCATGAGGCCCCTCCCGGCCTCAGCACTCCCAGCCTCCTGCCAGGACGGCCAGGCACAGGCCCCAGCGGCAGCACCCGTGGAGAGGTCAGGCAGGACCCAGGTCAGCCCTGGGAGGAGACGTGAGAACGGAGAATCCTGGCGGGGGCATCCCTGGGAGCCAGGCCTCTCCAGACACACAGACAGGGAAACAGCAAACCTCCCTGTCACCCAGAGGATTGCTCTGGAACTCACACCCCACGCCTCGCACACTCACGGGCTCATACAATCATCCGGCCTGCAGCCAGGATATACAACCATGAGATCACAGCACACGCACTGCACACACACTGCACATGGCTGCACACGCACTGCACACGGCTGCACACAGCTGCACACGGCTGTGCAGGCACCGTCCACTTGCTGCACACACACTGCAACACACTGCACACACACATTGCACGCGGCTGCACACTCCTGCTTGCAGCAGCCCTAGGGCTCCATGTCCCCTCCAGGTCCACTCCAGGCTGGCTCCCCTCCTCAGAAGCCCCAAAGCTACCCGACAGCCTGAGACTCTCTCTGCTCACCTCCCTTCCTCCCTGAGGGCCCAGCTGGTCCCTCCCATGCTCAGCCTGAGGTGGGGAGGCATCCCGGGTGCGGGAAAAGCCCTCCCCTCTCCTGTCAGAGCCTGGAATGCGCTGACCAGCGCCCGCCTAATCCTCGCTGTATGCCCCACAGGGTGGCAGAGCCGGCGGGGGCCGGGGTGGGCTGGGGGACAGGCCCTGTAGCACCAGGTGGTCAGACGGGACCCCAGAAGCCAGGGCAGGGGTCGGCAGGCAAGCCTCCCGTCCCAGGCCTGCCCTTGGCCAGATGGGAGGATCCGAGTCCCTGGAGAGATCCGTAATTTCGGAGGAAGAGCCAGGCTGGGGTCCCTGCCCAGACCTTGCCATCCCTGTGAGAAAGGAGTGGCTGCTTTCCTGGATCCTGAAGGAGTGAAGTGGGTGACAGTCAGGGGAAGCAGGGGCAGGTGACCCCATCTCTCTTGTGCCTGCACAGAGAACTAGTTGGAAGGGAGAGGCCCGAGGTGGAGGGAGATACGGGCTGGGAAGGGGCTACAGACCTTGTCAAGTCACCCGGCGGGTACGGCCCCGGTGCTCCCCGCCCCCAGCCCCCCCGCTGCACTCTCTGCTCCCAGCCACCCATCTATATCCCCAGGCTCCCCGTGCCCTCCCGCAGTGGCTGGAAGCAGATGGCAGTGCAGGTGGGTGAGACCCTGGACCTGGAGAAGGAGGGCAGGGCAGGGCTGGGGGCTCCCTGAGCCACCCGTGCTCTCTCTGCACAGAGCTGGGGGTGTGGGTTCTGGCCTCTCATCAGACCTTGGGGCTGAGAGGGCGTCGGGGTGAAGGTCTCCCCAGAGCTGGCCTGCTGGGCAGGCATGTCCCTCCTGCCCCAGTCCCGGTCACCCTGTCATGAAGACACCAGAGGAACAGAGTCTTAGCCTATGTCTGGCACCAGGCTGAGGGCAGGCTGGGTGGGCAGGGACTTTCCTGGACAGATGGGATACATGGGGTGGGGATGGGGGTGGGAGGGAGGAGGCTGCAGCCCTGTGAGGCTGGTCCCCCTGTCTCTTCCACTCAGTTTGAAGCCTTCTGTGCAGGGGGCCTGGCCCCCGGCTGGAACCTACTCGTCCAGGGACATGGTGACTCTGGAGAGGACAGGTCAGCAGCACTGCCCTCCCCTCCCTGGGCCTTGGACTGGGTGGCCGGACCCAGCCGTTTGCAGCTCTTGACCCGCACCATGTCCACCCCAAGTTCAAGATTCACTTCCTGTCGGAGACGGGGGACATTGCCTTCCACGTCAAGCCCCGGTTCTCCAGCACCACCATGGTGGGCAGTGCCTTCCAGGGCGGCCGCTGGGGCCTGGCGGAGCTGCCTAGCATCTTCCCGCTGGCCCCGGGGGAGCCCTTTGAGGTGACAGGGGCCTGGGTGGGGCCTGGGCCAGGCAGGGGAGGCCCGTGGGGGAACAGGGAGCCAGTGGGCAGGGGGTTCACAGTGGACGCTTACAGGTCAGGGGGCCAGGGCAGGGTCTGGGTGGGCCTCCCTGGCCTCAGTTTCCCTACGTGTGCGGTGGGTGCCCACCACCCTGGCTACCAGTCACCCCATCTTGGGAGAAAGGAGGGGACTTCGGACTGGGGGCTCCAAGCCAAGGAACCCCGGGGCCTGCCGGGCTGTGCTTCCTGGAGACAGCCGGCAGGCATATTCCTGTTACAAGCGGGACCAGACCCCAGGCCCTGGGGGTCAGCACTGAGGTCACCGGCCCCGGCCTGCCCAGATAGAGGTCAGCTCGAACGCGGAGCATTTCCACGTCTACGCCTGGGAGCACAAGGTGCTGCAGTCCCCACACCGCCAGAGGCCGCTGGGCACCATCACCAGCGTGTGCGTGCTGAGTGACCACCTCTGGTCTAGGGGAAGGAGCTGGCCAAGAGAGGCCTGAGCTGGGGGTAAGGTCCCTGCCTCCAACCCAGGCCCCTGCCCATTTCCGCCACACACTGCCCACCCCAGCAGGGACTTTGCTTCTCACTCTGATCCGGGGACCCTCCTCCGCCTGGGGAGGGGCTGTCTACCTGGTGTCCCACCCTGCTCCTCTCCCTGCCAGCCCTGCACATCTGGCCACCAGAGTGGGCCCACGGTCCACCTCCCGCCCTGGTCTGTGCGTAGGCAGAACGGGAGCTAAGGGCCTGCCTTGGATGTTTGCAGGGACCAGGGCTACTGAGAGGCACCTGTAGCCCCAGGAGCCAGACTTGGCTTGTCCCATGTCCAGGGCACCTGGATCCCCACTGTGGGGCAGCTGGGCAAGGGGGTCTGTGGTCCTGTGTGCTCCCACCAACTCCACTTTCAATAAATTCTGAGAAGGCTGCAGGTGCTCGGCTGCTGGGGGGTGGCGGGGGGAGGCTGAGGTGGGGCCGGCGCTATGACCCTGGAAGCTGGGGGCTGGGGGACCCTGAGACCAACACCCCAGGGATGACCCAACCCCCTCACTTTGTCCCCAGGACCCTGAAGTTCTCACGTAGGGCTGGGATGGACCGGGGAGGGGTGTCGGATGGCATCCGATGTGGGGAGGGCGCCTGCCATGGGCCAGAAGCTCCCAGCAGAGCCCAGGGGACAGAAAGGCAGGGGCAGGCGTGGCCTGGGCCGGTCTCCACCCAGAACCACCAGGCTCAGGCTCTTGCCATGGCTCAGCCCTGGTGGGGAGAGTCAGCCCTGGGGGACTCATGTCCTGCCTGGTCCAAGCCATCTCCTCGGAGGCCCCAAGGCTTCCTTCTCCCCCTACTTCCTGCAGGGGCCTTTCCTGTTTCTCCTAGCCCACCTGGAGGGAGACGTGTGCCTGTCCCAGCAGCCTCCTGTGTGTGTGGTGGTGAGAGCCGGGCTGGTGTGTGGTGGGGGCAGGAAGCCCCCAGAGGCCTCATACGGGAACATGAGCACTGTGGGGAGAGTCCCCCAGGCCTGCCCCTCCTGGCTGCGTGACCATCCACAAATCCCCCCAACCAGCCTCAGGTTCCACATCTACACAGTGGCAGTTGTGGCTCCTGCCACAAGGTCTGCAAAGGGCTCAGCCTTCTGAAGACCCAGCCCAAGAGCACCAGGGTGGGAGGGTGACTTCAGGGGCTCACACATGAGATTTCCTGTGAGTTTTCATAATTGTATGTTAATTCCACTACAATTACCAACACCGGGCATCTCTTTACCTCTATCTCTGCCTATATATCATTGATATCTATCGTCTATCATGTATATATCATCTATATCCGTCATGATCTTCATCTTCATCAATCATCCATCTATCTATCTATCTATTCATCTATCTAACCACCTACCAATCTATCGATTATTTATCCACGTGAAACTAGTGACGTCACAGCTTAGGATGAAACTCAACAGGTATTTAACCTTAAGTGAGTTATTTAAAGGAAAGTATTAGGCCAGGTGCATGCCTGTAATCCCAGCACTTTGGGAGGCCACAGTGAGGGGATCCCTTGAGACTCTAGGAGTTGGAAACCAGCTTGGAGAACACAGCAAGTCCCTGTCTCTACAAAAAATACAATTGGCCAGTTGTAGTGGCTCACGCCTGTAATCCCAGCACTCTGGGAGGCTGGGTGGGGGGGCCTCCCAGAAATCCTGTCTCTACAAAAAATTTTTAAATATTTTGTAGAGACAGGGTTTCACCACGTTGGCCAGGCTGGTCTCAAACTCCTAACCTCAGGTGATCTGCCTACCTCGGCCTCCCGAAGTGCTGGGAGTACAGGCATGAGTCACCGCACCCGGCCTGGCACTTGTTATAATGCTACTGTATAATTCCCAAACGTCTTGCCTCCTCGGGTTTTACAAATGGGGAAACTGAGGCTGGGGTGGGATCAGGAAGTCAGCAGAAGGGTGGGGTCCGGAGAGAGGAGGGTCCAGTAACCCTCGCTGCCCTCCAGCTCTGGGGAGGCATCTGAGGGCAGACCATGGCGCCCCCACTCCAGGTGACACAATGGCGGCCCAGTCTCCAGCTGTGCGGCTTCCTTCCTGTCTCCACTCACTTCCCCGCCTGCATCCACGGCCCAGCTGGCAGGAGCCCCTTCCTGCCGTCTCTTCGCCTCTTCGGGAGGCCTGGCCTTTGTGTCCACTGGGAGGGGCTGGGGACAGCGGGGAGACGTGCACTGACAAGTCCCGGCCATGGGTGGGACTGGAGCGTGGGGAAGTGGGGATCCACACAGCAGGGCCTGGATCTGTGGTCAGGCCTGCCTGCTCCTGGTCCTGGGGGCTCTCAGCCTGTCAGGGAAGATGTCCGGCTTGGCCTGTCAGGCCCTTGCCTTGAGACCCAAGCTGCCTGCTCACCCTCTCTGGGCCTCAGTTTCCCTGCAAATAAAAGGCTCCCTCCCTGCAAAACTCTGCCTCCCCAATAGCCATGCAAGGTGAGAGTGTGCCAAAGTGTGAGATGACAGGCTCTTTTCTTACTGTGGGGTGGCTGAGGCTGGGGACGACCCGGGAACCAGGCCTACACCTTCTCCCAAGAATTTGGCAAGGTGTGGAATGAGTGCAAATCATTTTACAGACGTACAAACAGGCTCAGGGAGACGGCGTGACTCACTCAGGGTTGCTCGGCAAGTGAGAGTTGGAGCTGGCCCTTCTCTCCACTCCAGTTTGCAAACCAGACCACAGGGGCCCCAGACCCTGAAGCAGTGTTGATCCTCAGTCTCCCCATCCATAAAATGGGGTGCAGGGAGCTATGGTCTCCATGTGTCCTGCTGCAGCAGCTGCTGCCCTCCCTATCACACCTTCCATGGCTCCCACCACCCTCAGCACAAAGCTCAGCTTCCTGTCTGATCTGGCCTCAGCCCAGCGCTGCAGCCCCAGTGGCCCATTCCCCTACCTGCCCCTTCGGCTTAGAAGACACCTCCTCTGGGAAGCCTTCCCTGACATCCTGCTGGGCTCTTGCAGCCCGGCTTTCATTGAGGCCCTGCCCTCCCATCACACTGCCTCATCTGAATGCGAGGGACCCCGTCTTACCCCAGCCCCCAGACTGGCCCAGAGCACATTCCACTTGAACTCTTTTTAGGACAGGCAGCTCCCTACCTCCCCAGACCAGCCCATCGCCCTGCTGACCAGAAACAAATGCCAGAGCTGACTTAAATCTGCTCCTCCCCTGTGCCATGGCAGAGGCTCCTTAGAAGGTGCCCACACGCTCCTTGATGCCTCCAGAGACCCAAAGCCATCAGCAGGATGTTGTTTCCTGCTAAAGTGGCTGCGGGAGGTCGAGCAGGGCAGCCCCTGGCCCCGGCGCGCTGAACCACATCTCTGGGAGAATGTGTCTCCCCCTCAGTTCTCTGTCTGGAGTTGGGGTGAGATTCAGGCAGATTCCCTGCACAGGGCCTGTCCGGGGAAACACAGCTGCCCGGGTAAGGAGGCTGCAGCCCCTGGAGGGTCAGGTGCACAGGCCTCCTAACACCACCTGCTGGCCAAAGGCTCCAGGCTCTCTGCAGGGTCAAGGAGTGACTCAAATGCCCACAGGGGGAGGGCAAATGTGCCGAAGTGAGACAGGTGGGCACAGGGCAGTAGGGGTTGGTGGGGTCTGTGCCCAATAGAAACGCACACTGCTCCCACCCCCACCCTGCCCAGCTCCTTCCAATCATGCACAGGGACCTGTGGACCCAGAGCAGGCAGATCTTCTGAATTTAAAACATCTGAGATTCAAGTGCTGTCTGCTGTCTCTGTTTTGAAACACCAGCCACTACGGGGAGACTTAAAGAAGGTATCGGCCGCAGGCAAAACTGCCTCCAGGGGCACCTGGCCTGAAACCTCTGCTTGCTTTTTTTTCTCCTTCTCTCCCCTCCCCTCCCCTCACTTCCCTTTTTTCCTTCCTTCTTTCCTCCTTCCTTCTCTTTCCTTCCTTCCTTCCTTTCTTCTTTCTTTCTTTCTTCTTTCTTTCCCTCTCTCTCTCTTTTCTTTCTTTCCTTCTTTCTTTTTGAGACAGAGTCTTGCTCTGTCACCCAGGCTGGAGTGCAGTGGCGCAATCTCAGCTCACTGCAACTTCTGCCTCCCAGGTTCAAGTGATTCTCCCGCCTCAGCCTCCTGAGTAGCTGGGATTACAGGCACGCACCACCATGCCAGGCTAACTTTTGTCTTTTTATTAGAGACGGGGTCTCACTATGTTGGCCAGGCTTGTCTCATACTCCTGACCTCAGGTGATCCGCCTGCCTCAGCCTCCCAAAGTGCTGGGATTACAAGCATGAGCCACCATGCCCGGCTAATTTTTGTTTTTAGTAGAGATGGGATTTTACTATGTTGCCCAGGTGGGTCTTGAGCTCCAGGGATTGCAGGCATGAGCCGCCGCGCCCGCCCGAAACCTCTGCTTTAAAACCAGCTTCTCCTCTTTTCTGGCCTCTGCTCTGTTCCTCCCTCCACCAGGACAGAGGTTGGTGGTCTCTCCAGGGTGACCCCTCCCCATGTAAGCCCTCTCAGCGCCCCATGTAAGCCCTCTCAGCGCCCCATGAGGAACAGACCAGCCAGCAGAGGGCACTCCCGACATGGCCTCAACCCAACTCCAGGCTACAAAGCCCTGTTCCCAGCATGGGGCAGGTGGACCTGCATTCCTGGACCCACAGTTTTGGTTTCCACAAGAGGACAGCCTGGGCCTGAGTCCAGGGGCTGAGAGGAGGAGAACCAGGGAGGGGACCTGGGCCCAGCCTGTCCCGTTTGCTGCAGAGCCCAGGGCCCGGCTCCGAGCTGAATGGAGGGAGAAGAAACCTTACATAGACCTGAGTGAATCACAGGCTCAGTTTCCCCTTCTGTAAGATGGGTGGCTGTGAGGAGGGGCCTGTACAGGGCTAGGCAAGTGCAGTAGAATATGGTCCACGTGGGTCCACACCTGCCTCCATCCCCACCGAGGAAGTGAGTGGTCCGCCAGCCCCGGGATGTCTCAGCCTGGCCTGGTGCAGCTGCCAGTGCCTCCCATGCCCCCGCCG